AAACATTTGAGCTCACAACATGAGTTCTTAATTGCATTGCCTCACAGGTCTCTCTTAAAGGAGCATTCCATGATGTTTGTTTACATTACTTTACAGGGGGTTGGGGGGTGGGGGGTTGGTAAGGGGTGGTGGTTGGTACATTGATAAATGTTTATACGGATGTCTACTTAGAATACTTGCTTGTAAATGGGAAATGTTGCTCATGTATTCGCCATTTAATTAGCTGTGATTATGTTGAGGTCATTGCCTTATGAAAAACCAAGGTCATTTGGAGGTTTTGAGTCGGAGTCTCTCAATATAGAAAGGTGGTGGCTATCTCACTGAAGACCACACAGAAGGACCATCACATGCCATTCAAAGCAATAAAGGTTGAGTGTCCTACTCAAGACAGCACAGACTTTTCTCGGCAGCTTGATAATTCCTGAGAAACACAGTCCGCCACGGATTGTGAGCGTCGAACAACGCACCTCAGACTTTCTGACGTTACGTAGATCAACACTGTAACTGATTGAGCTATCATTTGGGATATCTGTTTACATACTGGGATATCTGTTTACATACTGGGATATCTGTTTACATACTGGGATATCTGTTTACATACTGGGATATCTGTTTACATACTGGGATATCTGTTTACATACTGGGATATCTGTTTACATACTGGGATATCTGTTTACATACTGGGATATCTGTTTACATACTGGGATATCTGTTTACATACTGGGATATCTGTTTACATACTGGGATATCTGTTTACATACTGGGATATCTATTTACATACTGGGATATCTGTTTACATACTGGGATATCTGTTTACAAACTGGGATATCTGTTTACATACTGGGATATCTATTTACATACTGGGATATCTGTTTACATACTGGGATATCTGTTTACATACTGGGATATCTGTTTACATACTGGGATATCTGTTTACATACTGGGATATCTGATATCTGTTTACATACTGGGATATCTGTTTATCTGGGATATCTATTTACATACTGGGATATCTATTTACATACTGGGATATCTATTTACATACTGGGATATCTGTTTACAAACTGGGATGTCTGTTTACATACTGGGATATCTATTTACATACTGGGATATCTGTTTACATACTGGGATATCTGTTTACATACTGGGATATCTGTTTACATACTGGGATATCTGTTTACATACTGGGATATCTGTTTACATACTGGGATGTCTGTTTACAAACTGGGATATCTGTTTACTGTTTACATACTGGGATGTCTGTTTACATACTGGGATATCTGTTTACATACTGGGATATCTGTTTACATACTGGGATATCTGTTTACAAACTGGGATGTCTGTTTACATACTGGGATGTCTGTTTACATACTGGGATATCTGTTTACATACTGGGATATCTGTTCACATACTGGGATATCTGTTTACATACTGGGATATCTGTTTACATACTGGGATATCTGTTTACATACTGGGATATCTGTTTACATACTGGGATATCTGTTTACATACTGGGATATCTGTTTACATACTGGGATATCTGTTTACATACTGGGATATCTGTTTACATACTGGGATATCTATTTACATACTGGGATATCTGTTTACATACTGGGATATCTGTTTACATACTGGGATATCTGTTCACAAACTGGGATATCTGTTTACATACTGGGATATCTGTTTACATACTGGGATATCTATTTACATACTGGGATATCTGTTTACATACTGGGATATCTGTTTACATACTGGGATATCTGATATCTGTTTACATACTGGGATATCTGTTTACATACTGGGATATCTGTTTACATACTGGGATATCTATTTACATACTGGGATATCTGTTTACATACTGGGATATCTGTTTACATACTGGGATATCTGTTTACATACTGGGATATCTGTTTACATACTGGGATATCTGTTTACATACTGGGATATCTGTTTACATACTGGGATATCTGTTTACATACTGGGATATCTGTTTACATACTGGGATATCTGTTCACAAACTGGGATGTCTGTTTACATACTGGGATATCTATTTACATACTGGGATATCTGTTCACAAACTGGGATGTCTGTTTACATACTGGGATATCTATTTACATACTGGGATATCTGTTTACATACTGGGATATCTATTTACATACTGGGATATCTATTTACATACTGGGATATCTGTTTACATACTGGGATATCTGTTTACATACTGGGATATCTGTTTACATACTGGGATATCTGTATCTGTTTACATACTGGGATATCTGTTTACATACTGGGATATCTGTTTACATACTGGGATATCTGTTTACATACTGGGATATCTGTTTACATACTGGGATATCTGTTTACATACTGGGATATCTGTTTACATACTGTGATATCTGTTTACATACTGGGATATCTGTTTACATACTGGGATATCTGTTTACATACTGGGATATCTGTTTACATACTGGGATATCTGTTTACATACTGGGATATCTGTTTACATACTGGGATATCTGTTTACATACTGGGATATCTATTTACATACTGGGATATCTGTTTACATACTGGGATATCTGTTTACATACTGGGATATCTGTTTACATACTGGGATATCTATTTACATACTGGGATATCTGTTTACATACTGGGATATCTGTTTACATACTGGGATATACTGGGATATCTGTTTACATACTGGGATATCTGTTTACATACTGTGATATCTGTTTACATACTGGGATATCTGTTTACATACTGGGATATCTATTTACATACTGGGATATCTGTTCACAAACTGGGATGTCTGTTTACATACTGTGATATCTGTTTACATACTGGGATATCTATTTACATACTGGGATATCTGTTCACAAACTGGGATGTCTGTTTACATACTGTGATATCTGTTTACATACTGGGATGTCTGTTTACAAACTGGGATGTCTGTTTTGATACTGGGAGGCTTGTTAATATAATAGGATGCTTGTTAACTTACTGGAATCGGTTATTGGTTGATTTGTGTGATACCCGGACGTTTGAGTCCACACTGGGTAGATTGTTTACAAAATATGGACTTTTTATAGAATGTCGTTCTGTTTTCAAGTTGTATTATAAGAACTTTTATCTATGTATTGAACTGAAGTAGACATGTTTCTGTTATGTAGCAATATTTTCAATGGACGGACTCAAGTCCAAGCTTGTTTTTCAATCGGTATAGTGACAATTCATATCGCTTGTTTATTGTAACATGTAGATACTGGTTCTATAATCTTTAATTTCTTTAAAAAAAAACAAAAAAATGTTATAATCAGTTTTATACTCGTGTGATGGACTGATCAATATTTAGAATGTATTTGATACGGAAGTATCAGTTTGTTTTTATTGATCTGGGCGCTATGTTGTATCAGATGTTAAAGCAAGCCTGATCTTCACAAAAACAGGTGTCATACACAGCAAATGTAAAGTATAGAATTAATGGATTTCATGTATCGCTCTTAAATATCATTAAAACTTGGTAGTATCTTATAATGAACTGAAGGTTACCGCCCTTGTCATACGTGACAGTACGAGCACTGCTAGAAGGCAAAATCAATTTAATTTCATACAAATGAACAAACATTTTTAGCGATTGATCACAAAGTAGGTTCATCGATAATACCCGTGTTGGATAATAAAATTGACACCGCGACGTGAAGCGAAACCAATATATATGTAGGCCCATCAATATATGTAGTGCCGTCAATTTGTCTCATGCTTCTGTCGGCGATCATCAGGAATATCGTGTGGAAAAAACCACAGACGAGGAACACGTGAGGAATACTTTTGGGCCTACAAGGTACATTATAACACAGTGAATTACAGGTGAAACAGAATTCTATATTTACTTACACGGCGAACACAACGACAGGTGAGCACGCTGTTGTCCTAATTTGTCGAGGATCCGAAATGTTGGACAAACACTTATCACATAAAGAAAGACCTTTTGAAATCGACCTCGTCGTTATAATTGACGAAAAACTATACATCGTTCCGCATATTACAGCGTGTCCGGTTTCTTATAGACATGGAATGTCGCTTTAAATATTATGTAGCTATCTAAATGTAGCTGTAATTAGCGTGAATCCGCTATCTTTTACCAAGCTGTGGCTAACCGGGTATTTTAATGGTGCTTTTAGCGAGACAGTTTTGGAGAGACACAGGCGAGTTTTATTTCGTGTCATCTCCTTCGTCTATATGAGCAGCTATCCCCCCAAAATAGTGTATTTGTGGCAAAGAGCTACATTGTTGCGACAAACGTTTGGATAAAGATTTGTGATTTGTTTTATCTGTTTGGATTAATTTAAGACAATATAACATCACTGCTGTTTGGATTAATTTAATACAACATCACTGATCTGAAGAGGTAAGATTGGACCTTGTCGGTCTACAGTAGTACTCTAGGACGTGACGCGGGTATCAACAAGGTGTCGAACGGATTCTTGGGCAATAGTGAAAAAACGGGTATAAACAAATCCTCCAGTAAGTCACTAAGGTGTGTGGCTCATGAAGTATTAGGTTTATAGAAGTAATCCTTTGTCCAAACACACTAAAGAACATCCGATAGTGTATGATAGGAGGACAGGGTCATCTTACTGGGTATCTTGGAGACATCTTACCATCAAGGCTGGTGACAAGGAGAGCAGAACATTGGTCGTGTGAAAGTAAATGTTTGCCCCAGCCCGTGCAAACACAGGCCTATCAACTATGTACTCGGGCTTTAAGTAAAATAGCTCCACGGGAGATTCTTCTGATACTAGATGTTGACTTCGGATATCACTTGTTCAATAGTGTCGTATCGTGACCATACCCCACATAATGTGTGTACGGAATTTTTCCAGTTGTTTTCGTCGTGTGATTCAGAATGTCTAACAGGTCATTCGGAGTACATTTGATAGAAAAAAATACCCTTACGTGTTACGTTATCATGTACACGTAAAAATTTATTTTGAAAAATCGTTACCATGAGTCGAAGGAACTCATTACTTCCTGGAAATATCGGGAAAAAACCCGGAGACTATCTGAAGAAGCGAGTATCCCTGAAGGATGGGACACTCACTAGTCCGTCCATGCGTGTGTCCGGGTCCTTAGGGGACATCAGGGAAGGAGACACTTACTATCGGACAGTACATATCTATCCCTCCCTGCCGGATTCCCCAGAAGAGGTTACGGTTACCGTCTTTAAAATTGGACGGGAGCCACGCACAGGATCGTCCGCTGACAAATTAGAGTCGAGACGTGGATCGGTCCTCAGTGACCGGACCGGGTCCCCGGGGCCTGTAGAGTCGCCATTATACGGAGAGAGGTCAGTCAGAACATATAAACATGTACATCATTTTTTTCTTTCTTAAGTTTTCAAAACCAACAGAAGACTATACTCTTTAATGATAAAGCACCTGTTCTGTCGTTGTGAGATGACAGGAGTAACCCTCGCCCTCTTACACCTACCAATTAATCCGGCATTAGTTACCATGCCTTCCTGAATGTCATGCCTGTACGTAATTGTGTTCGGCGTGCTGGTATGTCTTTGTCATGCCTGTACTTAATTGTGTTCGGCGGGCTGGTATTTCTTTGTCATGCCTGTACGTACTTGTGTTCGAAAGGGTGATATTTCTTTGTCATGCCTGTACGCAATTGTGTTCGAAAGGGTGATATTTCTTTGTCATGACTGTACGTATTTGTGTTCTGCGGGCTGGTATTTGTCATGCATGTACGTAATTGTATTCGACAGGATGGTATTTCTTTGTCATGACTGTACGTACTTGTGTTCGGCAGGCTGGTATGTCATTGTCATGTCTGTACGTAATTGTGTTCGGCGGGCTGGTATTTGTCATGCCTGTACGTAATTATGTTCGGCGGGCTGGTATTTCTTTGTCATGACTGTACGTAATTGTGTTCGGCAGGCTGGTATTTCTTTGTCATGCCTGTACGTAATTGTGTTCGGCAGGCTGGTATTTCTTTGTCATGCCTGTACGTAATTGTGTTCGGTGGTCTGGTATTTCTTTGTCATGACTGTACGTAATTGTGTTCGGCAGGCTGGTATGTCATTGTCATGTCTGTACGTAATTGTGTTCGGCGGGCTGGTATTTGTCATGCCTGTACGTAATTGTGTTCTGCGGGCTGGTATTTGTCATGTCTGTACGTAATTGTGTTTGGCGGGCTGGTATTTCTTAAATTAAAAGTGCACTTGCCATAATTTCTTATGAATCTTCGAATTAATATCTATAGCTTTAATAGTGAAATCCAATAATCTTATTGGATTTTTTTAAACTGTGTTTTATTATGTTACAATGACGGCAATTATGTTGTCGTGTTTAAACACAATAAGTTGTATTTTATTTATCGTTCTTTATAAACCACTCCAAACGATCTCGTCAGGGTCAATATCAATGTAAGGTGGATATCTTAATTGCTCGACGTGGTGTTTGGTGTTTAATGTTACATGCTGTGTGTTTCAAAAGGTCGGTAGCGTCTCAGTGCTGTGTAAGTAACAAACCGTCACACAGAAACCTTCATTGATTTGTAACAAATTAAAAATATAGAAATACGAGGACATGTAGAAATTCTGTGGTTTAATGGATCCACAGTAAAACCAGTAGGAATAATATCTTGTGGGGAACAGTAGGAATATCATCATGTGGGGAACAGTAGGAATATCATCATGTGGGGAACAGTAGGAACAATATCATGTAGGGAACAGTAGGAACAATATCTTCATGTGGGGAACAGTAGGAATATCATCATGTGGGGAACAGTAGGAATATCATCATGTGGGGAACAGTAGGAATATCATCATGTGGGGAACAGTAGGAATATCATCATGTGGGAACAGTAGGAATATCATCATGTGGGGAACAGTAGGAATATCATCATGTGGGGAACAGTAGGAATATCATCATGTGGGGAACAGTAGGAATATCATCATGTGGGGAACAGTAGGAATATCATCATGTGGGGAACAGTAGGAATATCATCATGTGGGGAACAGTAGGAATATCATCATGTGGGGAACAGTAGGAACAATATCATGTGGGGAACGGTAGGAACAATATCCTGTAGGGAACAGTAGGAATATCATCATGTGGGGAACAGTAGGAATATCATCATGTGGGGAACAGTAGGAATATCATCATGTGGGGAACAGTAGGAACAATATCCTGTGGGGAACAGTAGGAATATCATCATGTGGGGAACAGTAGGAATATCATCATGTGGGGAACAGTAGGAACAATATCCTCTGGGGAACAGTAGGAACAATATCCTGTGGGGAACAGTAGGAATAATATCTTCATGTGGGGAACAGTAGGAATATCATCATGTGGGGAACAGTAGGAACAATATCCTCTGGGGAACAGTAGGAACAATATCCTCTGGGGAACAGTAGGAATAATATCTTGAGGGGAACGGTAGGAACAATATCCTGTGTGGAACAGTAGGAACAATATCCTCTGGGGAACAGTAGGAACAATATCCTCTGGGGAACAGTAGGAATAATATCTTGTGGGGAACGGTAGGAACAATATCCTGTGGGGAACAGTAGGAATATCATCATGTGGGGAACAGTAGGAACAATATCCTGTGGGGAACAGTAGGAACAATATCCTTTGGGGAACAGTAGGAACAATATCTTGTGGGGAACGGTAGGAACAATATCCTGTGGGGAACGGTAGGAACAATATCCTGTGGGGAACAGTAGGAATATCATCATGTGGGGAACAGTAGGAACAATATCATGTGGGGAACGGTAGGAACAATATCCTGTGGGGAACAGTAGGAATATCATCATGTGGGGAACAGTAGGAATATCATCATGTGGGGAACAGTAGGAACAATATCCTGTGGGGAACAGTAGGAATAATATCTTGTGGGGAACGGTAGGAACAATATCCTGTGGGGAACAGTAGGAATATCATCATGTGGGGAACAGTAGGAATAATATCCTGTGGGGAACAGTAGGAATAATATCCTGTGGGGAACAGTAGGAATATCATCATGTGGGGAACAGTAGGAATAATATCCTGTGGGGAACAGTAGGAACAATATCATGTAGGGAACAGTAGGAACAATATCTTCATGTGGGGAACAGTAGGAACAATATCCTGTGGGGAACAGTAGGAATATCATCATGTGGGGAACAGTAGGAATAATATCCTGTGGGGAACAGTAGGAACAATATCATGTAGGGAACAGTAGGAACAATATCTTCATGTGGGGAACAGTAGGAACAATATCCAGTGGGGAACGGTAGGAATAATATCCTGTGGGGAACGGTAGGAATAATATCCTGTGGAGAACAGTAGGAACAATATCCAGTGGGGAACAGTAGGAACAATATCCAGTGGGGAACAGTAGGAACAATATCTTGTAAGGAACAGCAGGAATAATTGAAATCTGGGGACCAGTAGGAACAATGTACACACAAGAAGTATCAGTAACATTTGACGTGAGGGGAATACTAGAACCAGTTCTAACTTCGTTTGGAGGATGGCGCTTGCATGGTTTCAGTTCGAAATTGTCGCGAGTGAATTGTATACATGTATGGTGATTTTGAGAGGCGTGACCAATTCTTACTGTTTTCCACTTGTACACTAGCTAGTATTGACGTCACCTTGACAGAGGGGATATGAAAAGAATTATACACATGAACACATTAAATAATATAATTCCGTGGTTTAAAGATACAATCTTAAGAAACTCAATTACGAGCGAATAATGCGTATTGAAAGTCGTGGCATGGTATCGCCACTGAACAATTTAGGGTGACGAAGTTTGTCGGGAGTGTTTATGGGGACATGGTCACTGATATTTTATATGTGGGGTAACAGTGACGAAAAGAAAGCAAGTTGGGTATGAGATGTGTTAAGTGTGTTTACGATGACAACATGGGGGAGTAGGGGATGTTCAAGGCGCATGTTATATGTAATAGTAGGGTAAGGTATCCGAAAACGTTGCCGTGTAATATGAAGTCTTGACAATCTAAATCTAGTCATTTTACTTATTATACATGATAATGATACATATGTACATATATTATATTTATTTTCTAAAACTAATCAGGGAGATTACATTCTTTTTTATTTGTTTATGTTAATGACAATTATATTGCATTTGTGTTGAATGTTGATTTCTAGTGAATAAATGAAAGCAAAATCATAGTATTTAATTGAAAAGCATGTCACACATCAAACGCTTGTACAATATGCATTTTACATGCATTTAACAAGTTAATATATTGCAATGCGTACCACAATATCTTGTTGGATATTGCAATATATTGCCTGCTTGGTGATGTAGACCATGTGATGTTCCGTATTAGGACAATGTTGGTGATTTAGATCGTGTGATATTCGGTATAAGGACAATGTTGGTGATTTAGATCGTGTGATGTTCGGTATAAGGACAATGTGGATGATGTAGACCGTGTGATGTTCGGTATAAGGACATTGTGGGTGATGTAGACCATGTGATGTTCGGTATAAGGACAATGTTGGTGATTTAAACTGTGTGTTGTTCGGTATAAGGACAATGTTGGCGATTTAGATCGTGTGATGTTCGGTATAAGGACATTGTGGGTGATGAAGACCGTGTGATGCTCGATATAAGGACAATGTTGGTGAGGTAGACCGTGTGATGCTCGGTATAAGGACAATGTGGATGATGTAGACCGTGTGATATTCGGTATAAGGAGTGTCGGTGATGTAGACCGTGTGATATTCGGTATAAGGACAATGTTGGTGATGAAGACCGTGTGATGCTCGGTATAAGGACAATGTGGATGATGTAGACCGTGTGATGTTCGGTATAAGGACAATGTTGGTGATGTAGACCGTGTGATGCTCGGTATAAGGACAATGTTGATGATGTAGACCGTGTGATGCTCGGTATAAGGACAATGTTGATGATGTAGACCGTGTGATGTTGATGATGTAGACCGTGTGATGTCCCGGTTTCGGGCGGTGTGTTGGTGAAATAGCTAGCTGTTTAGGCATTAGGACAAGAACTGCCGACATCGATCCTTTTGGAAGGGTGGGGCTGGTAGTTAAGTGAAGTATAACAGACACACCTTGCTGTTGAAACCTAGGATTGTTTAACGAAATGTGCGTAGATTGTCTTCAGTTTAGCCGAAGTTTCAAATGTGCACTGTGGTGAGAGCTAACTGCATTCATATCCCTTTCCCGATCATTCTTTAAAGTTTTAGAAATCGATTAATTTGCTCCTCTGAACTTGATCCAAACTACCTTAATCCTTTTCTGATTAGAAAACAGCAGCAGCAACAACAACTTTGAAGCATATTTGATATCAGAA